GCGCGGGCTCGTTCCCGCGGGACGGCCGCCGCGCCGAGCTGGCCGTCGTGGGCGGTCGCCCGCCGTCCCTGTGCGTCCCCGGGCCTGGCGCAACCGCCGCGGGAGCAGCAGCCGCTGCCGCGTGATGAGGCTGCGGACGTAGATGCACCTGCAGAAGAGGAGACGGTCAGACAGCCCGAGACGCCGCCGGGGAGCCCCGGACGCCAGACTGCTCATCGCTGCGGGAGGGGGCGGCTGGGAGGAGGGGCGCAGGCCTTCGATTCCTTTTGTTTTATTTGCAGTCCCTTTGCTTTGAATAAATGGACTTCTTCGGTAACAAGAGATTACATGAAAGCAGAGATTCTTCCAGTATTAATTTAGTTGGCCGGAAGCGGAGCAGGTTTTGTGAAAAGGTCTCAGGCAAACACGTGTTCGCGTTTGTATGATTACGGTATGATTAACTTCACAGTCTCTGTCGAGTCTTCTTATTCCTCCTGTTATCTATTTAGACTCAAATAGATATACTGATTTCTCCTCCTTGAGGAAAATCTCATTTCAGTTTTCTTCCATTTAGCAAACACCTAGCGCCAGAAATTACAAGATGATCAGGAAGAGATTAAAAAGATAGTTTCTGCCCTCCGGGGATTCCCAATTAGTGGACGAGAAAGGCGAGGATTACAGCATAGCACGATGTGGATACTTTTCTGGAACAAGCCAGGTACACGTTAATACTTGAGTAATGTAAAAAGTGGCATTGTCGAGAAACACACAGTACCAAGCACAGGAAAGGCTCTCTCTTCTGTGGCCTCTCAGTGGGGTGATGTGGGGAAGGCCTGACTTCCCACTGTGGTCCTGTCCTCCTGTCTGCCCCAACCCCACAAGGCTGTCATGTGCAACACAATCCACTGAGATGAGAGCATGACCATGAGAAATTAGTGTGGGAGGAAGTAAAAGTAAAGGAGTACTCAGCGCAGTGTCCTGAGACTTCAAGGACAAAATCGATATAAGAGGATGATTGTTGCAGCGTCAACCCTTGGTAGCTCCACTTTCCTTCCAGGGCCTCCCCACATCTGCCTCCATCTAGCCAGTTATTTCCTCTTCTCCATGGAAAAAGAAGTAGGCCTCTTCTGATGCCGGCTGGACTTCATTTGAGACAGCTCCAAAGCTCCCCGTTTATGAAGAACGAGTTGGTCAGCTAGTTAACTGCCTGACTTGCTAAGCAGATCATGGCACAGAAACATTCCCCCTCTCTTCTGTGTGTCCATCTGTCATAAGACATTAGGCTTACTGTGAGATATTTTCACACTGGTGCTTTGTTAAGGTCATAGGCAAGGCCACCCTCTATGAATAGGTGGGATTTCCCCTTAAGTATAGTATATACATACATATATATATATATATATATATATATATATATATATATATA